CGCTGAAACTCGGTCGTGGATCCTCGTGGGCGCATTGTTTCGGAGGCAACTACTGACTACCTACCAGACCACCCCAACCCAACCCGAAGACCCGAATTTCATTTCGGGTTGGGGGGGGTATGGGCTCCATATGTGTTTTTTCGATGTTCCCGGACCCCCCCCACTAAAAATCGAGGGTAAGTCTGAGCCTTCGGGTTGGGTTGGGTTGGTTTGGTGGGTGGTGAACTACTACGAGGTTTTCGTCGGAAAGATTGAGGAGGATTGAGCCCCACTTGGGAAATGTTACGCCGGAAAGGGCCTCGGATTAACCGGGAGTAAGCCAGATTAAGCAGGATCAAGCGGGATTAAGCGGGATTGAGGCGGATTAAGCCGGACTTCGGACCAAGGCGAAAACGGAATTCGACCTTCCAGGAGTTGCATCCGAACTCGTGGGCGCATCGTGAGCAGGGAAACACGCAGTGGCATAAACATAGCAGCTCGGAGGCCCGCGCGGACCTCCGATGTTCTGTGTATGTCACTGTCTGTTCCCCTGGTGATGAGGAAGATCCTGGACTTGCCGTCGCTCGGACGTCCATTTCCCGTGCATGTTTCGGTTTCGTGCGTGCTTTTTTCGCTCGATGATCCAGGATGTTCCTCAAGGGTCCTCGCCGAGAAAAAAATACACACGTCCGAGCGATGCCAGGTGGAGGCCTCGCGCGGCAACTTGAGGCCCGAGTTACGTCGGATCCACGTCGGATTGACGTCGGGTTCACGTCGAGCTACGTCGGATTTACGCCGGGCTGACGCCGGAGCATCGCCGCGCGAGCGTGTCGAGCCGTAGTTTGCGGAACTGACGTGCAGACTGGGCAACACAACTGTTACGCGCCGCGCGGGGCCTCCAGGTATTTTTCCTCAGAAGCATTTGAGCTGGCCTTGGAGGCCTAGAAATGGGCACCAACACCAACACAGGGGGTTGGCCTCCACAGGGGGTAGATGATCCTCGATTTCGGTGTTGGTGGCAATATTTCGGTCACCTTGGAAGCCAGAATATCACCACCATCACCGAGATCGGGATCTTCTTCCCTCGGTGGACGCACACCGCCGATATTGGTGTTGGTGTCAATCTCTAGGCCTGCGATGGCCCCGAGTCGCGGGGCCAGGCCTCTGTCACCGCGAGGCCGTCGCGCGCAGCACCGCGCGCAGGCGTGGCGGCCGCCTCGCAGCCCAGGGCGCAGGCGGGCAGCCGGCCCACCGCGCAGAGCCGCCGCGCAGAGCCGCCGTGCAGCCGCCGCGCAGCCACGGCTCGGGCGCGGCCTAGCCGACCCCTGGCAAACCATCCCCTTCCGTGGCGCCGTCCTCGCCGTTCAAGCTTCCCTCTGGCCGCACACACGCGTCCTGGGGCGAGGCGAAGGGGGACGTCACGGAAGTGCACGGTCTGCCAGGGGTCCGTGAGGCCGCCCCTGGCACCGCGCAACCCACTGCGCAACCCGCCGCGCAGTCCACGGCGCAACCCACCGTGCACCCATACGCGGCAGGTTCGCGTCCGCCCAACTTTAGCGTTGGCTCCTGACGCCGCGGGGATCGTTAAACCTTGAACGATCGGCCGCTTCCGAAACGACCAATCGTTCATCATCGACCGATGTTGGGCTGCCGCCGGCGTTCAACGTTAACACCCGCGGCGGGGTCGCGGCCGCGTCGACATGGTCCAACACGCATGGCTTGGACAGGCACTTGGGGGTCCACACGCCTGGGGCATAAGGCTCCACAGACACACACGGTTGCACACAGAGGGATAGAGGCGTCCGCACACGCGCACATTGTCACGCGAATCATCTGTTTGGAGCTCTTTCGCTGGCATCGTGTCCGAAGATCGCGAGGAAGGAAGTCATCGGCACAACTCGGAAGCAGTACGAAAGTCTTCTTCGGCGATTTTCGGATGCTTCTGGAGGGAGGAACAAAAGTGAGGAGGAAGAGGAAGTATCAAGGAGGAGGGAAGGGGAAGGCGGAGGTGGAGGGGCGTTGGGGGAGGTTAGGAAGGTTTCGATTGGCTGCTGAGGATTCTAGGTGGCGCTCGTAAAATCATGAGTCAGTCGGCGTGCGAGCGGGAGGAGACTGTGGAGCAGGGCTAAGAGGGGAGAATGGAGAAGGCAGGGCCGCGGCGTGCTTCTGCCTTCCCTCCCTCCCTCCCTCCCTCGCTCCTTCCTGCTCCTCCTCCTCCTGCGCTCGTACCGCTCCTCCTCCTCCCCCATCTCCGGGGACGACGACGACGACGACGACGACGACGACGACGACGACGACGATGACGACAACGACGCAAACGGCGACGGCGGCGGCGACGGCGACGACGACGCCCACGACGGCGGCAGAGACGCCGCGACGGCCCCGGGAGGCCTGCAGGTCGACCTCCGTCTGCGCCTTGACGCTCTCCTTGTCCGCAAGGGTCTTCGAGTCGTCCGCGCGCTTCTGCGCCTGTGCCCCCCGCGAGCTGTGACAGAGGTCTCCCAGGTGGGGTCCGAGCAGATGGGGTCGAAGGGTCGCGCCGCATCGCCAATGCATCGCCGATGCATCCGCGATGCATCGGTGATGCATCGGCGACGTCGGCGATGCATCGGCGACGTCGGCGTGGGGAAACACGGGCTCCACATCGAGCCGCATCGTCGATGCATCGGCGATGCGGCGCGATCCTTCGACCCCATCTACTCCGACCCCATCTAGGAGGCCTAGAGGTGATCGACGAGGAGGGCACGCGGATCTTCGACGAGTACGGGACGTGAAAACGACCACAGCCACTGCTTTTCTTTTGTTGCCGCCTTCCAGCCAGCAGAAACAAAGCAGTGGTTGTGGTCATTTTCGTTGAGCTTGGCACCAGGGAAATGACCACAACCACTGCTTCTTTTTCGGCCGGCTGGAAGGCGGCGCAAACAAGAAGCAGTGGCTGTGGTCATTTTCCCGTCCCGCAGAGGAGGGCACGCGGATCTCCGACGAGAGGACTGCTTTTCCATCCCGGCGATGTTCCTCGAGTGCGGGGCCCAGGGCACGTCGTCAGGCCCCTGGTGCCCCCAGGAGCAGACCTGATGCGAAACACTGGCCCAGGGGAAGGGGTCGGGACCTCGGGGACCGCGGATGGGAAAAAACAAGCATATCCTCGGATGTCGATTGGCGACGATGCTCGTTCGTTCGTGCCTCTGCTTACCCCGAGGTTTACGGAAACCCGCACGCGGGCAGGGCGTTCTGGCTCGGATCGGAGTCCCAAAGCCGTCGACTGAGCCAAAACTCTTTCAGATCTGCCCACCACGCTTGGCCCATGGCTACATGTTGGCCTGCACAATCTCCCCACGCTCTCACAGTGGTACGATCACGCAACGGGTTGGGCGTGCATGCGTTACGGGTGTCCGGGAAAAGGCCGCACATGAGACACCTGCGGCAGAACGTCAGACGCCCCACAAAGCAAACAAGGGAGACCTTGTAACCCTGGATGCTGGCCGGTGCCCAGGCGCCGCTGCGAAACCGAAAGCCTTCAACACCCAGCGGGGACAGCGGGCCAGGAGGCAGAGCATGTAGCTCGAAGTGCAAACACCAGGCGTTGGTTTTGCTGGCCTGGCGGTCAGACCCGAGAAGCGAACGAAACCCCGAACAACACTCCTCTCCTCCTCCTCCTCCTCCTCCTCCTCCTCCTCCTCCTCCTCCTCGCCCTCCCCACCCTCCTCCTCCTCCTGCTCCTGCTCCTACTCCTCCACCTCCTCCTCCTCCTCCTGCTTCTACTCCTCGTCTTCATCCTACTGGTTGTTCTCATCAGCCTCTGTTTCCTCCCTCGCGCTCCCCTCAGACATGTTCATCCCGTCTCTCCTCCTCCTCCTCCTCCTCCTCCTCCTCCTCCTCCTCCTTCCCCCTACCTCCTCTCTTCCCCACCTACCTCACACTCAACCTCTCCATCATGGTCATCATCAGTGGCATATTTCTCCTCCTCCTCCTCATCCTCCTCACCATCATCACCATCATCACCATCAGCATCATCATCATCAGCATCATCATCAGCAGCAGCATCAGCATCAGCATCAGCATCATCATCATCATCATCATCATCATCATCATCATCAGCAGCAGCATCATCAGCATCATCAGCAGCATTTTCATCATCAGCAGCAACATCGTCATAATGATGATGATGATGCTATCCTCATCAGCACCATCATCATCATCATCATCATCATCATCATCATCATCATCATCATCAGCATCAGCATCATCATCATCATCAGCATCATCATCATCAGCATCATCAGCATCATCAGCATGTTCATCATCATCATCATCATCAGCAGCAACATCGTCATGATGGTGATGATTATCCTCATCAGCACCATCATCATCATCATCATAATAATCATCATCATCAGCATCATCATCACCGTCATCGTCGTCGCCACCACAATATTGTTCCTACTATGCCTCAACACGCCTAGCTCCTCATCCGCAAAATGATTCCTAAATCTCCCCTTGTTCCTAATCAATCGATCCTCACCGTCACCACCATCGCGACAAACAATATCTTGACCAACATTACCAACGTAGTCATTGTCACTACCGGTACCTCATCATCACATCGTCGTGCTTATCATGATTGCCACCAACAGCAATATGCTCATCCTCATCCCCCTGCTCTCCTCCGCCCTCCTACCCGCCTCCCCCTCATCATCCACCTCATCATCAGAATCATCTTCCTCGCCAACATCATAACGATTACCATCCTTTCGAATTAGTACGTATTCCTCGTCAACCTCCCTCCGTTCCCGCTCCTCACTATCATCCTTCTGCCACTCCGCCACCTCCCTCATCTCTCTCCGCCTCCTCGTCCTCGTCCCCCTCCTCCTAACAAATAGAATCGTCATGTTGCGTCTCCCGCTCCTCCTTTCCCTCTTCATCCTCCCTACTCCCTACTTCTCTCCCTCCTCCTCCTCATCCTCCTCCTCCTCATCCTCCTCCTCATCCTCTTGCTCCTCCTCCTCCTCCTCCTAATCCTCATCTTCCACATCATCATCAACAACAGCCTCATCATCATCATCATCATCATCATCATCAGCAGCAGCATCATCACCACCACCACCGCCACCATCATCATAATGAGCATCAGCATCAGCAGCATCATCATCCTCATGGTCATCATCATCATCAGCATCATAATCATAAGCATCATCAGTATCAGCATCATCATCAGCATCATCACCACCACCACCACCACCATCATCATCATCAGATCATCACCAGCAGCACCAGCATCAGCATCATCAGCATCATCGCCATCATTAGCATCAGCATCAGCGTCAGCATCATTAACATCATCAGCATGCTCATCATCATCAGCATCAGCATCAGCATCATCATGAACATTATGATCGTCATGATCATCATGATCATCATCACCACCGTCAGCATCAGCATCATCATCAGCAGCAGTAGCAGTATCCTCCTCCTCATCCTCCTCGTCGTCATGATCGTGGTCGTTGTCGCCGTCGTCGTCGTCCTTCTCCTCCTCCTCCTCCTCCTTCTCCTCCTCCTCCTACTCCATCTCCTCCTCCTCCTCCTCCTCCTCCTCCTCCTCCTCCCTTTCCTCCTTCCTCCTCCTCCTCCTCCTCCTCCTCCCTCCTCCTCCCCCTGCCCAATCCTCCTGCTCCTCCTCCCCCACTCCGACTACCCCTCATCCCTCCGCCTCCCCCTCCTCCTCCTCCTCCTCCTCCTCCTCCTCCTCCTCCTCCTCCTCCTCATCAATCAATCATCATCACATCATCATCATCATCATCATCATCATCATCAGCATCAGCATCATCATCAGCAGCAGCATCAGCATCATCATCAGCATCAGCAGCATCAGCAGCATCATCATCATCATCAGCATCATCATCATCAGCGTCATTATCATCTTAACCAGTATCATCATGAGCATCATCATAATCAGCAGCAGTATCATCAGCATCATCATCAGCAGCAGCAGCATCCTCATCCTCATCTTCATCATCAGCGTCACCATCATGATCATCCTCATCAACATCATCGTCATCATCAGCATAAGCATCTTCATCCGAATGAGAATCATAATCAGAATCAGCATCATAACCATCATCAGCAGCATCATCAGCATCATCATCAGCATCAGCATCATCATCATCAGCATCATCACCAACACAATCAGCATCATCCTCAGCAGCAGCCTCATCATCCTCCGCCTCGTCTTTGTCGTCGTAGTCATGGAGGCGGTCGTGGTCGTCGACGCCGCCGTCGTCGTCACCCTCCTTCACCTCCTCCTGCTCCTACTCCTCCTTATCATCATCATGATCATGCGCATCATCATCATCATCATCATCATCATCATCATCATCATCATCATCATCATCATCATCATCATCATCGTCATCAGTATCATCATCAGCATCGTCATCATCATAATCCTCAGCATCATCATAACCAGCAGCATAATCATCGGCATCATCATCAGCATCAGCATCATCATCATAAGCATCAGCATCATCAGCATTATCATCGCGATCATCATCATCATCAGCATCATCATCATCATCAGCAGCAGCAGCAGCATTATCATCCTTATCATCAGCATCATCATCAGCATCATCATCGTTAGCAGTGTCATCAGCAGCAGCAGCAGCGGAAGAATCATCATCCCAATCAGCATCAACCACATCGGCATCATTAGCATCCACAGCATCATCATCATCATCATCATCATCATCATCATCAGCATCATCGTCAGCACCAGCATCATCATGATCATCATCATCATCATCGTCGCCGTCATCATCATCAGCATCGGTATCGGCATTGTCATCACCGTAAGCAGCATTAGATTCATCATAGTCATCATCATCATCAGCAGCACCAGCACCAGCGTCAGCATCATCAGCAGCAGCATCCGCATCAGCATCAGCATGAGCATCATCATCATAATCAGCATCATCATTATCAGCATAACCAGCATCATAATCATCATCAGCAAAATCATCATCATCATCATCATCATCAGCAGCATCATAATCGTCATCATCATCATCATCCCTTTCATCATCATCATCATCATCGTAGTCATCGTCATCGTCATCGGCATCGTCATCGTAATCGTCGTCATCACCATCACCACCACCACCACCACCTCAATCATCGCCATCACCTCCTCCACCACCACCATCATCATCACCACCACCACCACCCCAAACATCATCACCAGCATCATCATCATCAACATCATCAGTATCATCATCATCATCATCATCATCATCATCATCATCATCATCATCATCATCATCATCATCATCATCATCGTCATCACCATCATCATCATCATCATCATCATCATCAGCATCATCGACATCGACATCGACATCGGCATCATCATCATCATCATCATCATCATCATCATCATCATCATCATCACTACCATAGGGATCATCATTACCATCGTCATCAGCATCATCATCCTAATCATTATCATCAGCATCATCATCGTCCTTCCTGTCTCCTCCTTTTCCTCCTCCTTTCTTCATCTCCTCTTCATCCATCAGCCCTCATCTTCTCCCTCCTTTCATCGGCCCTGCCAAGCCCTGCCGCGTCCGTTTTCATGCCCGTCCCCCTCTCCACACCCCCTGCCTCCGGGCCCCCACCAAAAGCGCTCGCAAAAAAAGCCCAAGCCCCCACCGAGTCGGCCATCAGGGTCTCGTACTCACTCTGCGCCTCCTGCGGAGACGGGGGGGGCGAGGAAGAGGGCGACGAGGACGAGGACGAGGGGCCAGAAAGGGGAAGCCCGGGCGACAGACAATGCAGACGATGAATAAGAGGATGCGGCAATAGGTCAATGACAAAGAAGGGGATGAGAGGAAACATGAAGGTCGGGATGCCAGGGCGAAGAGAACGGAACTAAAGGAGAAACGCCAATCCGGGCGATGGCACGACGCAATCTGGCAAATTTGCAAGATGGGGCACGGCCCATATCAAGTTGCAGTCCTTTTCCTCCGTCTTGGCCTCAGTCATCTCGAGCGTCAAGTCCTGGGGTGCTCAAGCATACTGAAAATGACCCGTCCTCCCCAGTGCCCCCTCATCGCTCCGTTGTCGCAGTTGCGTCCCCTTCTGTCTTGTAGTTCTGCCTCGTCATGACATCACCATACTGCGTGACATGTCGCGCCTGCTCACCCCATGAGACCCTCGCTCCAAAAGGACACACGCACCACGCGTAATACGACTCGGTAACACCCGAACGCATACCGACGTTGGAGAATGCGGCACCGTCCTCCCAAGTGACTCATGAGAGATGGCACCTCGGCACCGCTTCCTACGATCGGGTCGGGCGAAAGGGGGGGATAGCAAAGAGGGGGTTTGAGAATCAGAACACGTAGCTGATTTTCCCGGCGCCTCCCGGCGCCGGGAGGCGCCCATGCATCGAGGAATGGGCCCCTCGGTCGGGCCGAAACCAGCTGCATGCAGCAGATTTCGTAACCCCCCCTTTCCCAAACCCCCCCTTTCGCCCGACCCGATACGAGCAGGGCACGACATGCCCCGCCGCATGCTGAGTGGACGGAAGGGGGGCAACAACGACGAGGAAGCGCTCGGGTCCAAACATGTGGCCCGTGCGGGGGCAGGAGCACAACCCTGAACGACGGGAGCAAGACGCCGATCCTGAAATGAGGCCAACGCTGCAGGGAGAGCTCCGTCTGCAAACATCGAAGGCGCTCCGATTGTGAGACAGACAGATGTCGACGATCCTGCGTGGAAGCGGAAGACATGCACGGAGAGGGCGGGGCCCCTCCAGGACGCAGTCAGGGGCGACAGGAGGGCGGCATTCAGTCTGTGCACTTGTAGATAGGAGGGAGGGGGGAGGGAGAGGGGGGGACAGGGAGGGGAGAGGGGGGGGGGGGAGAAGGGAGGGGGGGGGGGCGCAAGGATTCGGACGACGGGCTCGCCCGCGGGCGGGGCTACAGGCGCCCCGCTGCCTGCGCCTCGTCGGCGGGAGAGGCCGCCTGCAGGAACGGGGGAGGCGACCCCCCCCCCCACACGGCGCCGTCGGGAAGAATACGGCTGGAGAGCATGGCAGGGCGTCGCGACTCAAGAGTGGCTCTCAGGATCTGCACGCCCAGGATGGGGGGAGGTCAAAAAACAAATAAAAAACACACAGACACAGTGTGTGTGTGTGTGTGTTTTTGTGTGTGTGTGTGTGTGTGTTTTGTCCCACAATGTGTGTGTGTGTGTGTGTGTGTTTTGTGTGTGTTTTTCCCACGGTACGGCACGCGTCGGCCCGCGCGCCTCTGGAACCCTGCAAGAAGGCGACGCAGAGGGGCGTCCCCGGCCCGCGATCCAAGGCATGATCCGCGCAACATGTTGCCAGGCGTTCTCGCGGGATGCAAATGAAAAGAAGCCAGTGGCCACTGCGCTGGCGGTGAGCGTCGAGTCTCGCCTGGATGACCTCATTAGCAAAAAGAAACACGACACAAACATAAACTTTCGACGCTCCGTGCGGAACTCTTGGACCTGCGCTGGACCTCCCTCCCTGGCGCGCGGAGCGCGGCTGTGGCGCCGCCGGAGGCGCCGCCGGGGGGGGGCCCAGCGCAAGAAATCCGCGCGGAGCGCCAAAAGTTCATGCTTATAGCATTTTCAAGGGGCCCAGGGACACCCTAATAAAAACACACAAATCCCAGGATTCCCCCATGTTTCCCATCTACTTATTCTGGGTATTCGTCTTCCTCTTTTTCCCATGTGCTCCGGGGAATCATCGATTAGTTGTGTCTATGTGGTTTCTGTCCCCTCCTGAGTTTTTTTGCTTCTGCGGCTCATGGAGGGGACTTCCCGTGGGACAGAGGCGGTCTACACGTAAGTCGGGCGTGTCCCCCTACAGGGGGAGTCTCGACGAAAAACCAAAAATAGTCAAAACATACTCCACAATGGCCAAAAAATACTCAGAACATAGTGCCCAGGCTATTTTTGAATCTGCCCCCTGTAGAGGGACAGGCCCGACCTAACTAAGTCTACACAGAGACGCCGAGCGGGTGGCGTCCCAGGCGGCGTGGGCTCGGCAGCACCCTGGCCCTCGCTCGGACGTCCACTCTCTGTGTTTTTTTTTCGGCTTCGTGCGTGGGTTTTTCCCCAAATGATCAAGGATGCTTCTCGAGGGTCCTCGCCGAAGGAAAAATGCACACGTCCGAGCGATGCCAAGGCACCGTGCGAGGAGGAGGAGGAGGAGGAGGAGGAGGAGGAGGAGGAGGAGGAGGAGGAGGAGGAGGAGGAGGAGGAGGAGGAGGAGGAGAAGAAGGCCCCGACGGCTCCCGGGCGCGGTGCCGCACGCGCACCGGCGGAGCACGGGCTCGCTCCGCGGAGCTCTCGGCCCCGGCGGCCTGCGCCCTCCGGCGGCGAGCGGCGCCCGCCGCGCCAACGGTGGACGACCACGGCCGGCCACGGCCGCCACGGCGGCGGCGGCGGCGGCGGCCACGGCCACGGCGGCGGCGGCCCAGACATCGCCTCGCCGCGCGACGGAGCTCGTCGGCGAGCGAGGGGGGGAAGCGAGGGGGAGGAGGCCCCCTCGCAGCAGGCGGCGGGGCTTCTCGGGAGCCCTCGCGCCTGCCGAGGGGTTTTCTGTGCCCCTTGGGCTTCTCCGAAGGCCAGGGGGCTTCCGAGCCTTCCGAGAAGGCCCGCCCCTTTCTCACTTCCCCTTCGGGCTCGCCGCCGCTGGTGGCCTGCCTGGGAGTCTCCCGTGGTGTCGTCGGACGCTCTTGGAGGAGAGGCGTCACAAGAAGCTACGACAGGAGGAAGTGGCTGCTGCATGGGCCTCGCGGCCCCCGTGGATGATGCCCGGGGGAGTCGGCGGATACTCGGAGAGATGGCCACGATAAGCTAACAGTATACGGCATGGGGGCTAGTTGCAAATAGGTCCTGGACACCGTCGGACGGATCAACTTCGTAGAACTGGATACCGCCATCATGGCGCTCGCGGGCGTCGTTATGGTCACCGCAATACGGCTCGACTCCGTAGAGCTGGATGCCGCCGAGGTACCTGAGTACGTCGTGATGGACACCGTGATACCGCGCGACTCCGTACGGCTGGATGCCGCCGTTGTACTCGAGGACGTCATGCTGGGCACCGTGGTGCTGCAGGACTCCGCTGGACGTATCTCCATGGTGCCCTCGTGGATGCCGAAGGCTCGTTGACGAATTGGAAGGTCGTGTTGAGCCTTCCTGACCGTGGGGGCTCGAGAGGTGGAATAACTGTGCAAAAAAAAACCCAGCTGGCCAGCTGACGGGTTGACCGGTTGACACGCCGACCAGCTGCAGTGTTGACAAACTGGCCAGCTGAAAAGCTGACCGGCTGAGCGTCTGACCGGCTGACCGGCAGACCGTCTGAGCGGCTGACAAGCCGAGCGCCTCACCGGGTGACCCGGTGACTGGCTGCCCTGCTGATCGACTGACCAGATGACCGGCTGACCCGCTGACCGGCTGACCAGCTGACCAGCTGAGCGCCTGACTGGCTGCGGCTGACCGGCTGAACGGCTGAGCGGCTGACCGGCCGAGCGGCTGACCGGTCCCAGCTGACCGGATGACAAAATGAAAGGCTGCCCAATTGACCAGCTGACCAGCTCAAAATGAAAGGATGACCAATTGACCAGCTGACTGGATGACTGGTTGACCAGCTGACAGGCCAACCGGCTGACCAGCTTCACGCTTTACCAGCTGACAAGATAACCGGCCAATTGACCGGCTGACAGGCTGACCGGCTGAGCAGCTGACCGATGGACTGGCTGACCGGGTGACCGCTGCTGAATGACTGACCAGCTGACAAGCTGCAAGGCTGACCAAATGATCGGCTGACCAGCTGACCGGCGCCGACCAACTGAGCGCCTGACCTGCTGCGGCTGACCGGCTGAACGGCTGAGCTGCTGACCGGCTGAGCGGCTGACCGGTCCCGGCTGAGCGGCTGACCGGCTGACAAAATGAAAGGCTGCCCAATTGACCGGCTGACCAGCTCAAAATGAAAGGATGACCAATTGACCAGCTGACCGGCTGACCGGATGACCAGCTGACAGGCTGACCGGCTGACCAACTTCACGCCTTACCGGCTGACAAGATGACTGGCCAATTGACCGGCTGACAGGCTGACCGGCTGACAAGATGACCAGTTGACTGGCTGACCAGCTGAGCGGCTGACCGGCTGACAAAATAAAGGCTGACCACTTGACTGACTGACCTGCTGACCAACTGACCAAGTGACTGGCTGACCAGCTGACCAACTGATCCGCATCTTCCTGCTCCTCATCATCCTGATCCTTCTCGTCCTGATGATATACCTCCTCCTCCTCCTCCTCCTCAACCTCCTCCTCCTCCTCGTCCTCCTCCTCCTAATCGTATTGATCCTCTTGTTCCTCATACTCATTCTGATCCTCCTCCTCCTCCTTCTCCTCCTCCTCATCTTTATCCTGATCCTGATCCTGATCCCACTCCTCCTGATCATCCTCCTCCTCAACCTGAACATCCTCCGATTGATGCTCCTCATCGTGATCCTTTCCTGATCACCCCCGTCAAGATCCTCATCCACTTCTTCCTGATTTTGATCCTGGTAGTGAATCCCCTCCTAATTCACCCTTTCGAGGCTCCTCATCATGAACCTCAATGTCCTGATTCTCATAATCCTCATCCTCAGCCTCCTGCTCCTCATTGCCGTGATCCTCCTCCTCCTGAATGTCGTCCTCCTCCTCCTCCTCCTCCTGCTCCTCCTCCTCCTCCTCCTCCTCCTCCTCCTCCTCACGGTCGTCATCGTGCTGGCCCTGTGGTCCTCATTCTCCTGGTCCTTGTCCACAAAGCCTCGCTCCTCCTCCGCCTTCTCCCCCTCTCCCTCACCCATCATATCCCCCTGACTTGCCTACACTGATCCTCCTCCTACTGGACTGCTGGGCCGATGGGCCAGTTGACGAATAGACCGGTAAACAGGGGGCCCATCATCCTCATCCTCATCCTCATCATCATCACCACCATCATCATCATCGTTGTCGTCGTCATCAGCAGCAGCAACCTGATCATCATCATCCTGATCATCATCATCATCATCATCATCATCAGCAGCAGCAGCATCATTATCATCAGCAGCATCATCATCACAATCAGCATCAGCAGCATCATCAACAGCACCATCAGCATCATCACAATTATCATCATCATAATCGTCATCATCAGCATCACCATCATCATCCTCAACATCATCAACATCATCAGCAGCATCACCATCGTCATCACCATCATCATCATCACCATCAGCATCATCAGCAGCACATCCACCACCATCATCATCACCACCACCAGCATCACCATCATCATCACCATCACAATCACCATCACAACACCACCATCATCATCGTCATCATCAGCATCACCACCACCACCACTTCCCCACCACCACCACCACCACCATCATCATCATCATCACCATCACCACCACAATCATCTTCATCATCACCATCACCATCACCATCACAATCATCATCAAAATCATGACCATCCTGATCATCATCATCAGCATCATAAGCATCATCATAATCATCATCAATCATCATCAACACTATCATCATCATGCACCATCATCATCATCATCAACATCAAAATCATCACCACCATCACCAACACCATCTTCATTATAAACATCTCCAACACCACCACCACCACCACCCCACCACAACCATCATCATCATCATCATCATCATCATCATCATCATCATCATCATTACCACCATCAGCACCATCACCATCATCATCACCATTACAATCATCCGCATCCTCATCAATCTCATCATAATCATCCTCCTCATCATCATCATGTTGTTCATCATAATCATCCGCATCATCATCATCAGCACCATCACCACCACCATCAACACCAGCAGCATCATCACGATCACCATCACCATCATCACCACCATCAGCATCATTTTCATCATAGTCGGCATCAAGACCATCATCATCATCATCATCATCATCATCATCATCATCATCATCAGTAGTATGATCAGCAACACCATCATAACCGTCACTACCATGATCATCAGCATGAACATCACCATCATCATCACCACCATCATCAGAAACATCATCATCGTCATGAGCACCAGCACCGACACCACCACCACCATCACTATCAGCATCATCATCAGAAGCATCATTGTCGTCGTCGCCAACCTCATGATCATCATCATCACCACCATCGTCATCATCATCACCGTCATCTCAATCATCATCGTCATCCTCATCCTCACCACCATCATCAACATTAGCATCATCAATATCATGTAAACAGCATCACCATCATTACCATCATTGGTATCAACACCTTCTTCATCATCATCATCATCATCATCATCATCATCATCATCATCACCGTCATCATCATCATCAGCATCAGCATCAGCATCAGCATCAGCATCATCAGCAGCAGCATCATCATCACCATGTCCATAATCATCAATATCATCATCATCATCACCATCATCACCATCACCATCACCATCACCATCACCATCACCATCACCATCACCATCACCATCACCATCACCATCACCATCATCATCATCATCATCATCATCATCATCATCATCATCATCATCATCATCATCATCATCATCATCATCGTGACTCGGTGACCTGCTGAATGGCTGACCAAATCACCGGCTGACCGGTTGATAGGCTGACCGGCTGACTGGAAGATTGGATGACCAGCTGACCCGGTGACCGGCTGACCGGCTGACCGGCTGACTGGTCGACCAGCTGACCTGCTGACCAGCTCACTGGCTCACCAACTTACTGGCTGACCGGCTGACCGCTTGACTGGCTGACCGGGTGACTGGCTGACCGGCTGACCTGCTGACTGGCTGGCTAGCTGTGACCAGCTGACCGGCTGACTGACCGGTTGACCAGCTTACCAGCTGACCGGTTGACTGGTTGACCAATTGACACGCTGACCGGTTGACGGACTGACCGGTTGACCGACTGACCAATTGCAGGCTGACTGGCTGACTGGCTGACCGGCTGACTGGGCGTCCGGCGCAAGTATTCCACCATTCTGCGCAGTCCTGGAGAATGTCGTCGAAAACGTAGCCGAGGTCGTAGAAGTCATCCAAGACGAGGAACGCGTACAGATCTCGGACCAGCACGCTTGCCATCCAGCAAGCGGCCCTGTCTTGCCTGAGCACGTCCTCACTGATTACTTCCTGGGCCAGCAACTGGAATACATCCAAGGGCATGTCCAGGTCAACTGGGCCGGAAGGGGAAAGCTCCAAGAAGTCGCACGGCCTTCCTGAGCCCCTGGTACTCGCTGCCCCCGCAGCTGCTCGGCGCATGTGCTGACGCGGGTGCAGACAGCATGGCGCGGATGCGCGGGGGCATCCGCGCCCTGGTGGGCGAGGTGCAGGAGGGCGGACTCGGGAAGTTCACATACCCCAGATCGGGGACATGCGCCGCTCGGGGTGCAGCGTGGTGCCGCTGTCATGGTGGCGCCCGCGGCGCGTCGTCAGCGCTCCCCTGGCTGATGTGGCTGCTGGCGGCGCTGGTACAATAGGGGCCCGACCACAAGAAACGCTCCACAAGCAACCCAACCCTGAGACCCCAGGACGTCCATCGATGCTTGGCGTGGGAACGTCACGCCCTCCATCGCAAAACCATCGAACGCAAAGTCATCGAAACCCACGAAACCCAGGGCACCCTGGAGGCAAGAAGGGTGCTTCTTGGCATGGTCCCCCACAGCAGCAGATATCATCGAGATCGGAGGCGTGCTGATGTTCGAGCTCGTGGGGGGCCGGGGAGGCTCGGTCTGAAGCCTCCACTGCGTGCTAGAGCGGTGGCGCAAGCATCCTGTCGCGCGAGAAGGCTCCTGGGATGGGATGCTCGGCGGCTCTTGCAGGAGTCCGGGGATGGACAGAACCCCCTCCAGTAAAACGCGGTTTAGAGAGAACGGCCTCGGGCCCGAGCCTGGCGGGCGCAAGCCTGGAAGATGGCGACCGCGGCGCCCTCGCGAGAACCGAGACACGGACCATGCACCAGTCGACGCGTCAGGGTTGAAGCTTCTGTCCGACCCCGATGAGTGCGCGGGCGGCGTGGGAACACGGCACGGTGGGCGCTCACCTGAGGACATGGCGACACGCGCAGGGCATATGGAGGTGACGCGAAGCAGTCACACCCCGAGATGGGGCGCGCCCAGCCTCGCCATACGAGGGGGAAGCTGCGCCGGGGGCTTCGCGCCGCGGCTCGCTCCTGAGCCAAAAATGGCTACAGAGGAGAGGGGGGAGACGAGAGGGCGAGGGGGAGGAGAGGGGAAGGAGAGAAAGGAGAGGGGGGAGGAGAAGGGGAGGGGCCTCCTCCTCCCCCTCCCCTCCCCCTCCCCCCACCCCCGTCCCTGTCCTGACCCTCATCCCCCTGCCCGCTGCTCCCTCTACTGGTGCTGCCCGTCCTGACCTCCGCCCTGCTCCATCTTCCGGCGCGTACCGAGCTCTGGCCTCCTGCGTAAGAAACGATATGAACTATCTTCGAAGCACGATCGCCAACGAGCAGGAGGACAACACGCATACAGTCGAGGCGTTGACCTAAGGAACCATAAATGAGGAACGAGGCCCCTTTTTCCCATAAGTTCAACCTCGATTTCCGATGGAAAACCTCAGGAAAACCCGAGGCAAACTTTGAAACAATCAAGGAACACCGAGCCCTCCCCAACGAAAAGGGTTCCTTCTTTAGCGCCCCGACTGTACGCATCTCTGGCGCCGCGCTAAGATTTCGACAGGCTCTTCCCCCCATCCTCCCATCCTGCTCGTCCGTCTCTCCGCCTCCCCCTCCTCTCGCCGCCCCCTTTTCGCTGGCATGACATGAATGGGTCCTCTGGAGGTGAACGGATCCTGCACTCACCAGCCTTCCCCCAAGATCAGCTCTTCATCCTGCGCCGTTTCCTGACAGCCTCAGGGCCCGTGGAGGACCCCAAGAGCCCGAAACCTGCGAAAAAACTCAGGACCCGTTCGCTTTCGGAACCGTCTGCTTCATGGTAACTCCTCCTCCACCTCCTCCTCCTCCTCCTCATCCTCCTCCTCCTCCTCCTCCTCCCCCTCCTCCTCCTTCCCCTCCCCCTCCTCCTCCTTCCCCTCCCCCTCCCCCTCCTGCTCCCCCTCCTATTCCCTCCTCCTCCTCCCCCCCTCCTCATCCTCCTCCTCCTGCGCCTCCTCCTCCTCCTCCTCCTCCTCCTCCTCCTCCTCCTCCTCCTCCTCCTCCTCCTCCTGCTGGTCGCCAACTCTCTGCTTCTGCTCGTCGCCAACTCTCCGCGGGGGGGGGGGGGGAGCCGCGGCAAAGGCCCGCCCTCTCGACGCCACCTGCCCGGGTCGCCCCTCCCGAAGAGGCCACCCCAAGGGCTCGCAGAACCAGCCGCTGCGCCTGTCGGCCAGCGGAGGGGAGAGGAGAAAGAGCAGAGGGGAAGCAGGAGGAGGGGGATGGAGGAGAGGAGGAGGAGGAGGAGGAGGAGGAGGAGGAAGCGGAGGGGGAGGGGGAGGAGAAAGAGGAGGAGGAGGAGGCGGAGTAGGAGGAGGAGGAGGAGGTGCAGGAGGAGGAGGAGGAGGAGGAGGAGGAGGAGGAGAGGAGGGGGGAGCGCGAGGAGGAGGGGATAGCGCGGGAATGATGTCATGATAGATTTTGCACAGGGTGCGCTTCAGGCTGTCCAGAGTATCCAGCGGCCCTCGTGCCTGCAGCCCCTGTGGAGCATCAGGAAAGCTTGGAGATCCTGGGAACACTGGACCGCCTCATTATCATGACCTCTTGCTACTGTCAGGGAAAGCAGGAAGAAGATGGGAGGTGACGCATGGGGGGGGAGGGGAAGCGTGGAGGTGCCGGGCTGCGGGGTGAGCTGCTAGGCTGCAGAAACGTCGTCCTTGACCAGGAGGTCGATCATGGCAACCACCCCAGTGCTCTCCTTGGCACGCGGCATGGACGGCACGGGCGGAGCGAACACGCACGACAAGGCGCAGGAAAGTCAGGAAGAGACGGGAAACAAACAACATGACCAACAACGATGAGGAACCATTGGAGAAAAACGCCGTATTTTAGCGGGATCAGGCAGCACCGCGCTGAATCGATTTCGCATTGCATGTTCGGCCAACCAAGATCGACCAAGACACGGAGCCAACACTGAAAGCCATTATGGATCGGCTTCTCCTACTGGGCGAGCAACGACATATGTACATGTACGCCTTCCGCGGTCTTGCCTGCACGAACGTCCGCGTTGACACGCACTCCAGGGGAAACTAACCGCGCACGTGTACATATGTTGCTGGCCTCTGACCTACGTCTCCATCACGTTCCTGCTCAGCTGGAAGCGTTGCTGTGCAAAGCGGGCCACGTCGGCTGGATGTGGTGCTGGAAGAACAGCAGCGCCTCTGGAAGCGCGCTCGAGTCAGTCGCAGCGGAAAGCGCAGGATGGGCGCGAAGGCCCCCCTCGGACAGGGGGGCCGCTCGGGTGGTGTTGCCGGGCGGTGCGGGGGGCGATGGGCCCTCCCCCCCGCATCTGCCAGGTCGCCTTTCTGCGCGCGACAGGGGGGGATGCGCACCACTGAGGCCAGCCCTCCCCCCCCCCCACACCGCCCGGAGACAACATGTGCAGCAACGTACGGCAGGATCGTGTCGTGTCGACTCTGGCGTTGGTTACTGACGTCGCGGGAATCGCTCAACCTTGGACGATCGGTCGTTTCCGAAGCGTCAGATCTTTCAACATCGACCGATTGTGGGTCGCCAGCGGAGTTCAAAATTTGCACGGCTGCGGCGGGGTCGCTGCCGGTCGACACGACGCGAACCTACCATACGATCCTGATGTGAAGGGCTGCTGCAGGCACTAAAGTGCCAACCAGAGTGCACGAACTGATTGGCACGCTGACGGCAACAAAAAACTGTATGAGTTTCAGGTTGGGTGGTGCGACCGAAGGGGATCGGAGCCACCAAACCAGGAGATCTATTTCGGATTCGCTTCGTGTCGTGAGTAACGCTCGTGCGGGGGGGGCGGGGGGCGGGGGAAGCTGCGCGAGGGAGCAAGAGATCCTGCCCCACCCGGGGCCCTTTGCGTCAGATTGTCTCCCCCCCCCCGCGCTGGCTGGGGAGGCCAAGCTGCCCCGGCGATTTTCCTGGCGGTCGGCGATCTTCTGACCCGGGTCAATCCAGACCCGGGTCAGCAGGAAACCAAAAACTGCAATGCAGGAAACCAAAACTGCAACGCAAATCTTCGCAAACCCGGGTCGGCCAATACGCGCGGCCGCCTCTCGGCCACGAGCGGCTCGCTAACCCGGGTCAGCCAGAGGGGGTCTTCGCAGGATCCTGCAGGATCTGGCGCCCTGGCTGACCCCCGTTTGCATTGACCCCCGTCTCAAGGCTCCCGAGGCGGTTGTCCCGGGGCTGTCCCGGGCGGTCGTCGCACGGTCGTCCCGCGGTGGTTCTTCGATTGCCCCACAGCTGCCCCGTGACCATCGAGTGGCGGTCCCGCGGTTGCCCCGTGGTTGTCCGTGGGTGTTCCTGCGAGACGAAGTCGAGTGCGATCGACAGAAAACGTGAGAAAGAAGTCTGCAGGTAGATGTAGAAACCGATATATCGTTATCTTTGGCACATACATGAATGAAACATCGCACATCTATACATCTGAAGTTGAGACAACATGTATATCTATACATAAAAGACATCGCACCCGTTCCGCGCGCCCTCAAAGTCTAGCCATGGAAGTTTCGAGCGTCGTTTCTGCCTGCGGATGTGGGGAGAAGTGTCTGCGTATCGGCGAACTGCGAACTTCGCAGGGATGAATCAGCGTGCCTCCAAAAAAACTCCAGCAAATCAGGGGCCTTCTTTGTCCAACCGCATCCTTATTCGCGACGGTTACGGGTCCAGTCGACTTCGAATCCACGTCGAATCCGCGTCGAGCTCGCGCCAAGTCCGCCTCGAGCACGCGTCGAATCAAAGAAGCGACCCGACCGCCGCTTACTAGACAAATGAGGCCCCGCGAATACACAACGTGCCGAATGAGGCCATTACCGCGAGCAAACCGTTACTACGCTGATTCTCTCACCTGACCTTCCAGTCTCTCGACGCCGGTACCTACACGTCCTGCCAGACTTTTGAACTCACTGGACTCGCTGTGCCCCGAGACGTCCGCCTTCTCTTCTCCGAACCCCCCACGCCCTGCACAACGGCCATTCGTCCTCGTCCACACCTCCTCCACTTCCTCCTCCTCCTCCTCCCCCTGCTCCTCCTCCTCCTCCTCCTCCTCCTCCTCCTCCGCCTCCTCCTCCTCCACCCCCCCTCGTTCCTCCTCCTGCTCCTGATCCTGCTCCTGCTCCTGCTCCTGCTCCTCCTCCTCCTGCTTGTCGCCATAATCCTCATCATCGTCATCATCGTCATCAACATCACCACATCAGAATCACCACCAGCATAATGAATGGATGAATTGATTGATTCATTAATGAATTGATTCATGGATGAATTCATTAATCGAATTAGTTATTAATGAGACTATCGATAATAAGGGCACTCAGAATAATACTACCAATGACAATCATAATCGTTTCCCTAATAATAAGAATAGCAAGCTCAAACATAACCATAAACGTAATAATGAGAAAGATAATGACAATACTGCATGGAATCCATGAGACTAGTAATAATCTCACATAAATATGGAAATAAAAAAAACATCACTACGACGAATGTGGATGGAAATGCTCATACGAGTACGAATTGGTAGGTTCATAATGATGATAACGCTGATGATACCCATTCTAATCCGAAGAATGACGTAACTACTAATGATATCAATCTTATGTAATAGCAATAACAACAATACTATGAATGAACATCATAACGAAACTAACAATAACATTAATAAGAATTGCAATGATAATCATCCGCACCATCATCGTCATCAGCAGCAGCGTCATCATCATCAGCAGCAGCAGCATCATCCCACCAGCCCTCTGGGCGTAGGTGGTCTAGGGCATTTCTCTTCCAATCCCCGTCTTCCCCTTCGGGGAAGGTCTGATCCTTGCTCCTTATTAATCTACAACCCCTCCCCCACCCGGGCGGCGGCCAACCCGGAACCATGCCAACTCCATTCGAGCCCGCCCCCCTCCATCCCTGTCAAACCACTACAAACCGAAGTACACGTTGGGACAAAGTCTTGAGTCATGTTCGTGAGGCCCGCGAACACTTCGCATTGTTTTTGGCAAGGACGCCAGGGCTGCCAGCATATTCCTTGCTGCGCGCAGGGCTACCATCCCTAACATAAACCAATTCAAAATGCACCTCGCGGCTAAATCTGGATCATGCACGGCCATCCCGCGATCACTGCCAAGTGGTTTTTGACAGGGACGGCGGAGTGGTGGCGCGTGGCCTGCTGTGCGCAGACCCACCAGACACAATGATGGGCATTCGGTTTCGACAAGGATGGCGGGGGGCGACATGTTCCCCGACGTGTGCTGTGACGTGCGCAGGCGCACCTGACGCACTCTGCACGTGCCCCGCACGTGGCGCACCTGGCGCGGCTGGAGTGCGCGGCACACCTGGCGAAATCGGAGCGTGGCGCACGTGGCGCACCAGGCGTGCCTGGCACGCTCGGGCCCCAGGGGTGCCTGGCGCGCGTGGCGCCCCCTGGCACGTGTGGCGCACCTCGCCCAAACGTCGCGCACCTGGGGTCGGCTTTGGTTCCCAGTAGCTGTCCATCCAAAGGCGACCGCTGAACATGCTTAGGCTCGGGTGGGAGGGCGGGTGGGAGTGAGCTAGACGGCTTGCGGGCGGGTGGGTAGCTTGACCCCTCCCCTTACCCCCTCCCCTGGACATGGACGAGGGGGGGGGGCAACGAGGCGTTGGAGTGTCCAAGATGGCCCAAGTCGGCTCCAAGAGGGCCCCTGAGCGCCCAAGATGAGCCCCAAGATGGCTCAATATAGCGCAGTGCCTCAAGATGGCCCCCAAGATGCTCCAAGGGGCCCCAAGAACGTTCCAAGACGGCTCCCAGAGGCCTTCGAGACCTCCAAGGAGGCCCCAAAAAACCGAAGGAAAATCAATGTTGGTCGCGTTCTCGCCTTTTCGCTTCCGATGGCCATCCGAGGCCTCAAGGTGGCTCCAAGATGGCCCAAGAGAGCCCCAGGAGAGGCCCAAGAGAGCCCCAAGACGGCCCCAAGAGCGCTCAAGAGCGCCCCAAGAGCGCTCTAAGAGGGGTCAAGGAGGCGATGTTCGATGTTCACGACGAGGGGGCGGGGGGGGGGCCAATTGGAGCTCCCCTCGTGCCTGATCGATGTCCTCCAAGATGGCCCCAAGAGCGCCCCTAAAGCTCCCAAGAGCGCCCCCTAAAGCTCCCAAGAACGGCCCAGGAGGGCCCCGCGAGGCGCCCAGGCAGTCCCAAGAGGCGCCCGAGAGGCCCCCAAGAGGCTCCCAAGAGGCTCCCAAGAGCCCCCCAAGAGGCCTCAAGAGGATCTCCGAGGCACCCAACTCTCCCTCCTTCTCCTCCTTCTCCTCCTTCTCGTCCTCCTCCTCCTCCTCCTCCTCCTCCTCCTCCTCCTCCTCCTCCTCCTCCTCCTCCTCCTCCTCCTCCTCCTCCTCCTCCTCCTCTTACGGCGGCGACGACGACAACGATTCCTCCTCCTCCATCCTCCCCCTCTCGGTGCATACGACGGCTTCCCCCGTCTTGTGTGTTTCTGCCTGCTGCCCCACGTAGCTGATCACCTCAACTCGCCTGGGTATCGTTTCTGGATTGGGCTGGTCGAGATGCGCGAAGCGGTACTGTTAATAATGGTAGGCCAATGATAAGAACAATGATTACGTACTAGACGAACCAAAACAATACCAATAGTATTCATACGTCGGATAATATTAACAACGATGGAAATCCCAATAGTTATACGAAAACAATATCAATATGGCTATATAAACTTGATCGCAAGACTG